CCGATGCGTGGCCGATGCGTCGCCGATGTGTCGGCGATGCTGCGCGATCTTCCGACCGCATCTAATGGGGACCGCATCCAGGGGGCTTTTTGTTGGGCACCTCGGCGCAACGAACTCGCCAAACATTGCGCCATCATGATCTGCGAGCAGATCAAGAAGGGCGACGCCTTCGAACTAGGCACGGTGAGCGCGTTGCTCGGCGAGGTCGAGGAACGCGCGGGCGCCTCCGAGAACGCTCTGGCGATCGAGCCCACGGCGGCCGTCGCATGGGCCCGCGAGGGCCAGGGCGAGGGCGGGCCCGCCTCCCAGCAGCCCGAGGAGCAGAAACGCTGGGCCGAGAGAGTCCAGAAGGCCGAGCACCTGCTGTTCGCTGAACACTCCAAGGTCCCCGCGCAGTACACCTACCCCAAGGTGTCCAAACAGGGAGAGGGCGCGGCCGTCGAGTGCTTCGACGCCCTCGAGTAGCCGCCCGAGATCGCCAAGCAGCAGGTCGCCACGAAGATCCCCCGAAAGCTCGGCGCCATCGGCCCTGCCGACGACGCTCTGTGAGCGGCGACGATATGTTCAAAGTGGACGTCTGGACATGTGGGTTCTGGCGACGAGGTGGGTCGAGCGCGCCTAGCGCGCGATCCGGGGCGGGGGCCGCCTGCCGCCCATCGGCGTCGCCCAGGCGCGCGCTCGAGGCAACGGGCGGGTCCAGAAGCCAGGGCGCGAGCGACAACCGCTCCGCAGCGGCCAAGGCCAAGGCCGAGGCCGGGGGCAGAGGCAAGGCCAAGCCGCCGAGTGACCCGACAGCGCCGGAGCACAACTGCGGCAGCCTCGGAGGAGGCACTGGCCGCAGCGTAAGCGCGCCCGAAGCGCCTCCCGCGCAAGGGCGGCTCCACAGGGCGCCGAGCCTGCGCGGGCGAGTGGTTTGAGCGCGCGCGCGAGAGAGGTTTCTTGGCGAGGACCGCCGAAGACCTCGAGCTCCTGGGCGCCCAGAAGTGGGCGGGGGCCGCCCCTGCAGAGCCCCACGTCACCATGGCGGGGTGGGGGCCAGGGGCAGCTGCGGATTCGCGCCTCGGGGGCCCAAGCCTGAGTTGCCCCGGGCCGCAGTTATCCTGGATAGTTCGGCCGCCCAACCCCCCGAATCATCGGGGCTGGGGTCAGTCAGGGCAGCCGCAGGTCGGGCGGCGCTTGCCCGAGTTGGTCGCGGCCGAAACCCAGTTTCCGGCGGCGGCTTGTGGCAGCGAGCGAGCCGTCGACGTGTTCGAAGCGCTCGTTTGGACCCCGACGCGCCGTCTCCTCGTTCTGGGAGTTCGACTCCTGGCGGCGCCTCCGGGCGCGCGGAGCGCGCGCCGGGTCCGTTCCTGGCGCGCGGGGCGCGCGCCGGGGAGGTCCAGCGCCGATCCGAGAAATCTGCGCGGACCTCCGAGAAATTCTGCCCCTCCAGAATGAGCGCCACCGGGCTGCCGCCCCCGCCCGCGGCCCCAGACCGACCCCCGTCGCAAGGAATCGCCGCGCGCCGCGGAGGCGCCGCGCCCCCTCTTGCGCGGGTCGCGCTGGCGCGGCGGGGTCGGCCCCCCGTCTGGGGGGAGTCGACCCCCCCCCCATCGCTCGCAGCCGAGACGCTGGCACATGGGCCACTTGAGGCGCAAGACGCGCTTGTTGCCGAGGCTCGTCGTCGGTCGGCAGAAAGCCGCGTTCGTTTTTTAGTCGATTCTCCGGCGCCACAGTCTGGTGGGCGGGAGGTGGCGCCGCGCAATGCGCCGTCCCGCCCCCCCCCATCCCCTTTCATGGCGCCTGCTATGGCCGCGAAGTTAAAATGCGCTCCTCAGGCAGGAAAAACTTGCGTAAAAATGAATTGTCGGAACTCTGGCTGGATTCTTGGGATTTGCGCTGGGCCCCTTTGGTGGCGCCTTTGGCACCAGCGCGAGACTCTGGCGGATCGACGCTGGCGCGCGCGGCGCTCAAGCGCCGATGCAAGGATTCCGCGCGGACCTCCGGAAGAACATGTGTTTGTTTTTTGGTGGCTCCACAAGAGGGCGACCATAACATGTGCCCACAGCCCCGGCGCCGTGAGTTTGTTGAAAACGTGCACCCTTGGAGGTGTCGGTTTCTTTCCCGAGATCGGTTGTTCATCCCGAGGAGTTGGTTGTTTGACGGTCCCAGCGCCTGGTGTCCAAACACCTCCCGTCGCATGTTGTAACGACGCGAAGGTGTTTGGGCATCGCGCAATATTTGCGAAACAGAATGCCTTCCCCCTCGTGTTTTGGGGTGCTGCCGTGGCCGCTGCCTCCTCGATCGTAGTTCCTCCTCGACACAACACTTCGGTCCTCGATCCGACTCGATCCAACAGTAACTTCGGTCTTCGATCCTCCTCGATCCAGCAAGAACTTCGATCTTCCATCCCCAGATCTCACGACAATTTCGGTCCCCGATCTCCTCCTCCTCCTCGTCCTCCTCTTCCTGCTCCTCCTCCCTCTCCTCCTCGTCCTCGTCCTCCTCCTCCTCCTCCTCCTCCTCCTCCTCCTCCTCCTTTCCCTCCTCGAGGACGGGTGTCGCCCTGGCCCGCACTCCGCCCGAGGGGAGCGGGCAGTGGTTTTCTCCGTCAGAGCTCCCACGCTTGGGACGAAGTTAACCATTCCCGGAAGTTTCGGGTAGGCGACCGACTACAGAAGCGATGTACCCAAACATTGATTCGTTCGCCGAGTCTACAGAAAGAGTCGTAGAATGTTCCGTAGAGTTTTTTGCGCATTCGTTCGTACATTCGGCGGATAATCAATGCCCGGGTGAATCAAGTCAGTAGTCGTTCTTCCACTCGAATCCCTGGCGAAGAGGTCCGCCGTTGGCTGACGCAACCGGAATCCGCTGGCTCGCTTCGTCTCCCCGAGGAGGGGGCGCGCCCGGCCCCACGAACCCTTCCCGCCACGAATGCAGCTCCTGTCGTGGCACCCGCGCCGCGGAAGGCCGGCGGGACGCTTGCCCGGCCCTTTGTTCCCCGCAGGCCTCCAAGATGTGGTCCGAGCAGATGGGGCCGAAGGATCGCGCCGCATCGCCGATGCATCGACGATGCGGCTCGATGTGGAGACCGTGTTTTCCCACGCCGACGTCGCTGATGCACCGCCGAGGCATCGCCGATACATGGGCGATGCATTGGCGATGCGGCGCGATCCTTCGACACCCCATCTATTCGGACCCCATCTAGCGGGCCTCTATTCTCTCTATTGCGTTGCCCACCCTGTCTTTCCGGCCGGCGTCACCCAGGGAGGGCATCGGGGAACAAGCAAAGACAGATGCAGATTTCTCGGATCGGAGTTGGACACCCCCTCCTTGGCGCGCGGATCGCGCCAGAGGCGGCGCCAGAGGCATCCGCGCGGACCACGGGTGAAACACCTCAGGAACATCCGTGGTTTTGCCTTCTCGCTTGAGCCATCTTGGACGCTCTGATGGGCCGCAGGGCGCCCCATCCAGACCAAGGGGGGGTTAAGGGGGAGTGGGCAGGTTCCCAGCTTGAACGCCGCAGGCTGTCTCGCTCACCCTCACCCGCCCTTCCAACACAGAAGTAGTGCCCGAGTCTCAGCACATTCAGCGGTCGTCTTTGGATGGGCAGAGACTGGGAACCTATACAGACCTCAGGTGCGCGACGCTGGGGCGAGGCGCGCCACACGTGCCAGGCGCGCCTCGCGTGCCAGGCGCGCCGCGCGCACCAGTAGCGCCAGGCGCTCCTGAGGCCCAAGCGTGCCAGGCACGCCGGCGCGCCTGGTGCGCCAGATGTGACACGTTTCAGTTGGCTGGCATGTGTGCCAGCATGTTTGGGGGGGATAGTGTTCTGTTTCGGGTGTCTACGGCTCATCGGTGAGATGCTCTGCCTCTGGCCTCCGATCTCCGCAAAATTTCCTCCCCACTTCCCACTCCTCCCCACGACCTGCCCATGTTCCACGTGTGTCGCGTGTGCCGCACGTTTCAGCTGGCTCAGGTGCGCCACGTCCTGGGCACGCGCAGGGTGTGCCAGGTGCGCCCGCGCACGTCGGGGAACATGTCGGCCTCCGCCGCCCTCGCGGACAAAACATTGAACGTGGTGGAGTGGCCATCGTTGTGTCTGGTGGACGGACCCACAGCAGGCAGCGTGTCGGCATCCCCGCCGCCCCTGTCCCAAACCAATGCGACGTGATCGCGGGGTGCACGCTCACGATCCAGATGTAGCCGCGAAATGCATTCTGTATTAGCTGTTGACAGGGACGGTGGCCCTGCGCGCAGCACTCCAGATGCTGGCACCCCCGCCGTCCCTATCACAAATACAGTACAAAGCGCTCGCGACCCCCCCGAACATGACCCTAGATTTAGCCGCAAGGATACTTTCTGTATTTTTTTACAGGGATGGTGGGGGGTGTTGGCATGACCAAATCAGGTAATATGCCGGCCTCACCGCCATCCCTGTCAAAAACCAGTGCAAAGTGGTCGCGGGTGTCCGCGCATGCTCCAGATTTTGAGGCGCATTGTATTCATTATTGTCTTTGACTTGGGGCGGTTCGGGTGGGTGGGCTCATGGGCCCAGGTTGGCTGCCAGTCGGATGTGGGAGGGCTGTGCATTGATAGGGAGCAGTGATCATGCTCCCAGCGTGATCGCCGCAGGCGGAAGCAGTGCCGACGCCAGCCAGGTGCGCGAAGCCCGCGCCAGGGGTAGACCCCTCCCGAAGGGAGAGAAAGGAACCGCTCTAGACAACCTGCGCCCAGACGCCGGGCGGTACTTCGATCCTCGACCTCCCTCGATCCCCAACACTTCGATCCTCGATCCTGCTCGATTATCATCCTTCTCCTCCTCCTCCTCCTCCTCCTCCTCCTCCCGTTTCTTTTCTTTTTTTGTTTGTCCTTGCACCGGCATCGGCTGGATGGCCGTCCTCTTCCTCTTCCTCTTCCTCCTCCTCCTCCTCCTCCTCCCCATCCTCCTCCTCCTCCTCCTCCTCCTCCTCTTGCCCCTCTTCAGGACGGTCTCATCCTCCTTATCCTTTCCCTTTGAGGACGGGGCGATCGCCGTGACCGCGGCGCTCGAGGCCCTCGACCTCGCCTCCGTGGCGGAGGTCGTCGGCGCCGAGCTGCGGAACGCGGGGCTGGACGCGGGCGCCGTGCTCGAGGTCGCGAGCCTCGAGGCCGGGCGGGGTCGAGCCACCAGCCTCGCTCTCGTCGCCGCCCTCGCCGTCGTCGTGCCTCGGGGTTCGAGGCACCGGGGTTTTGAGAGGTCCGAGGGCAGCAGGATCGGCGCTCGAGGGTCGAGGACGGGAGGATCGGGGTCTCGAGGGTCGAGAATCGAGGGGTCGGGCGTCGAGGGTCGGTCTTTGTTGAGGGTTGGGGGGTGGGGTGATCGAGGGTGGAGGACAGGAGATGCCGCTGATTGGTGCCTTGTTTGCCTCGTCGTCGTAGCCTCCCTCCTCTGCCGTGTTCGAATTTTGCCTGAGCTGTTTCAAAATTGCCGCACGTCGCCAGGATGCACTGTCCAGGCCCAATCCTGTCAGGCACTGTCGGATGCGCAGCCCGCCTCGTACTCCCCTGGCCGCGCAGTGGCGGAAGTGGTACGTGGCGCGCAGAGATTTTTTGTTGGACCATGTTCGTTCCATTGTTCCCACCTCGGACGATGAGAAGACACACATTTCTTCGCGTCGTGAAGACAATCTCGGCGGGAGGTGTTTGGCCGTTGTCGGCGGCCACGGGACTGTCTCGGAGAAGACGACGAGGGTGAATGGCCCAGGGGCGGGCGTTACACATTTCTGGTGCAGTAGCAGCATGGTTTCGGTCGTTGGAGTGGGGGGGGGGCTGGGGATTTGACCGATCGCGCGGCGCAAGTTCTGGATTGGCGCGGAGATGGCGCATCGAATGTCGTGGTAACGACGGCGCTGACCAGATGGGGCGGCGTGCGGACTGAACCACGATATCATTAGTGACGCCCGCTGTAATTGGTCGCGATGTCCATTGCGGCAGGGAGCTGGGGGCGTCCAGTGCGGCGACCGCAGTGCCTCTTCCTGAGGGTAGCGCGGCACCAGGCGACCGCAGTGGGCGGCAGGGCTGCGCGGCATATTCCCAGCGATGCCGTGCTAGAGGAAACGCGATGCCCTAGTGGCCGCGGGGGTACCTTGTGTGGGCGCAGCACAAAGGAATCCATGTATCCAGCTTCGCTTGCATGTATCGATGTATGCACATGAGGCTGTCATTTCTTCTCATATAACATCTTTCATTTCTGTTACATCTAATCTGTCGGGGTGTCATGTTTTCAATTTTTGCTACATGTAACCGCTCTGCGGTCTGGGGGAAGCAAGAGCGTCCTCGTGGCCCGTTGGCCACCACGTGCCATGCGATTGCGATGTTCCCGCTGTTTCTTTTGCAATGTGTGAGCGGGAAGATGCCGCGAGGCGTTGTCGCCCCCGGCCAAGGTCTCCCGATGCCTAGATCTGCTGCACGACTCGCCATTACGCGCCGCAGTGCGCACCCATGTCTCTTTGCCATTTTTGCCATACTGGCAAGAAGGGGTGGACGTCAGCCGTGGAATCGGGGTCACGCCGCGCGCCGGCGCATCTGGTTAGAACCGAGGTTGCCGCAACATCTCCGCATTTGTCCAGGACTTGAGTCACGCACCTGGTCAAGTCCTCAACTCTCCCGCTCTGGCGCCCGAAGCAATGTTGTTATCTTGCTGGGCCCAGAACAAGTGCCACGCCCGCCCTGTTCTTCCTGGGGAGAGGGTCGAGACCTTCGGGGGCTCACGTTGCGAAGCCATCGCGACGTCGGGGGCATGGAAAACCGATGTTCTGATGGTTGACGATGTGTTGTACTGGCAAGCCCCCACGCTTCTCGCATCGAGCAAGACAATGATCCGGGACCCCTGGGGACGGGTCGGGCGAGGGGACACCACCTCGGAGGAGGAACGTCAGGGGCAACATCGGGAGAGGGGAACGCGTCGACCCCCAATCGCCCCTTCATCGCCGCGGTTTCGAAACCGGGGGCCTGTCGCCAACCTATCGGCGGTGCATCGCCGATTCCAGGTGGATGCTTGCCCCCCTCAGCCACTCCCCCCCCCTAACGTTTCCCTTCAGAAAAGATGCAGATACCGCTGCTCGTGTCGCCGCGGCTGGATCCTCCAGAGGTTTTGGCCCGAAAGCACCCCAGGGGAGGTCCGTACGGATGCCTCTGCTCGTCCTGGCGAGCCGTCGTCGCCACAGCTGGATTCTCTTTGAAATTCTGTCCAGGGGGGCACCACCTCGGAGAAACACATACCATACCATTACCACTTGTCCTCTCGGAGAGCCATTGTGGCCACGGCTGGATTATCTTGTGAGATGTTCGCCAGAACGCATCCCAGGAGAGGTCCGGGGAATAACGATATCGGCATTTTAGCACCACCGGCAGCATTTAATTGTTTTCATTGTTTGCTGCACAATTCATCTAGAAATGAGTTCTTGTTGTATGTGTATTATATCCTTCTTGATGCTTCCAACACTATTTCCATTGCTGTTTTTTGTGCTCATTATTCTGCGTTGACTATTTTCGACGACGACGGCGAAGACGACGAGCTCGCGGGGAACGTCCGGCGCGCCCGCCCGGGGGGGAGGGGGCAATGAGTTGTGTTGAGGGATAAGGCGCGCGTTCCCTGCGCATCAATTGCCGGCACCGACGCGGGCGCAGACGCACGCGCGCCAGAAACTAAAACATCTCGCGCGCGCGTTTGCTCGCGCTCAGATTTGCTCGCGTCATGCTAAGATTTGCTCGCGTTCAGAAGCGCGCGGCGGAAAGCGCGAGAGATGCCCTCACACTGACGCGGGCGCAGACCCGCGCGCGCGCGCCATTAGATCAAACATCACGCGCGCCGTCCATGCTCGTCACTGGTCGGCGCTGACGCACGCGCTGACGCGCGCGCCAGAAAATGAATCATCATGCGCGTCTTCCCTGCGCCTCGCAAGCGGCGCTGACATTGGCGCAAACGCGCGCCCTCCAGAAACTCACATCAGGCGCGCGTTCCTTGCTCCCCACCGGTTGGCTCTGACGCAGGCGCAGACGCGCGCGCGCCAGAAAGTGCAATCTTCAGAAGCGCGTTGCCTCCACCTCGCTGGCCGGCCCTGACGCGGGAGCAGACGCGCGCGCACGTTCCAGAAAGTAAGACATCCCATGCATTTTCGCCGCGCCTCGCTGGTCGGCGCCGATGCGAACGCGGGCGCGCGCGCGCCAGGCAACGAGACATCGCGCGCGGCTTCTGACACGGGCGCGGACGCGCGCGCCAGAGCAGCAAACGTAAGACCCGCGTTCCCCGCGCATGATTAGTCGGCGCTGGCACGGGCACAAACGCGTGCGCGCGGTCGGCGGCGACCTCGCCGTTCGGCGGTCGACGCGGGCGCGGACATGGGCGCGCCAGAGAAGCATGCATCGCGCGCGTTGTCTCTGCGCCTCGCAGGCTGACGCTGACGCGGGCGCAGGCGCGCTCGCGCCAGCATTACAAGGGTGCGCGCGGCCCTTGCGCCGCGCTCAGACTTGCGTACGCTCATGCGCGCAAAACGGAAAGCGCAATTTATGCGCGCGTGCAAACGCGGGCACGGGTGCACACGCGCCAAAAACCCGCGCATCGCGCGCGCCTCTTCCCGCGCCTCGTTGGTCGATGCTGGCGCAGGCGCAAGCGCGCCAGAAAATCCGACACCGACGACCATCGACGACGACGACGGCGAAGAGAGGAGGACGACGCCGACGACGATGCCGATGACATTGTGCAACGCAACATTAAAACGATCTCCATCCAGACCGCGCGTTTATGCTATCAAACACGATTTTACTTCAACATGAAACACATCATATTGATGAGCTTGGGAAACAACATGAGAAATACTTTGGTCACACATACTACCTGCTTTGCATGATTTGTTGAATTTGTTTTTCATCGAAAGAATGGTTTTGTTTTGTTTCCGCTTCGCGAACCCCTGCCAGCCTATTCAGAAACCTTGCCCAGGAGAGCTGACGGGAAATGGAAAGCAGAGACGCATATAGCGAAATAGAGCAGCCAAAGAGAGGAGGGGGAGGAACATGTTGAGCCATGTTGGAGGCTATCTTGGAGCATCGGAGGCCTTCTTGGAGCTACGGGGCTTTTTGGGGGCCTACTGGGGTCCTCTTGGGGCTCCGTTGGGGCATCTTGGATCTTGGGGCCCTCTTGGGGCTTTTTGGGGGGTCTTGGGGTCCTCTTGGGGCCCTTTTGGCGCGTCTTGGAGCCCTCTTGGGGCTCCTCTTGGGGCCCTCTTGGGACTGGCTTGGGGCTCTCCTGGGAGCTTTGGAGGGCCTCTTGGGGCTGTCGTGGAGGATGTCGATGAAAAGAGGGGGTCCTAGCGTTTGGCCCACCCCCTCCTCTGGGGCCATCAAAATAGCCCATTGGGGCGCTCTTGGGGCCCTCTGGGGACGATCTCGGGCGCTCTTGGGGCCGTCTTGGGGGCCTCTTGGGCCTTTCTTGGAACTCTCTTGGGCCATCTTGGGGCCATCTTGAGGCCCCCAAAGCGCACCAGAAGCGAAAATGCGAGAAGGCCAAACTCATTGGTTTTCTTGAGGTTTTGAAGGATTTGTGCTTCTCGAGGAGGTCGTGAGGGGTCTCCAAAAGCACTTGGATCCGTCTTGTGGCCTTCTTGGGACCTCTTGGGAATACGTTGCTAGCTATCTTGAGCCATGTTGGGCTGTCTTGAGCGATCGTAGAGGCCATCTTGGGCTCTCTGAGGCCCTCTTGGGGCCATCTTGTGCCATCTTGAGCGTCCTGACCGCTCGCGACCCCCCCCGTCAGGTCCAGGGGGGGGAATCGGGTGAGTGGTCAAGCTACCCACCCGCCCGCAAGCCGTCTAGCTCACTCCCACCCGCCCTCCCAACACATAAGTAACACCCGAGCTTGAGCATGTTCAGCGGTCGTCTTTGGATGGGCAATGATTGGGAACCAAAGACGACCGCAGGTGCGCGACGCTTGGGCGAGGTGCGCCACGCGTGCCAGGGGCGCCACGCGCGCCAGGCACCCCTGGGGCCCGAGCGTACCAGGCACGCCTGGTGCGCCAGATGCGCGACGTATTCCGACTGCGCCAGGTGTGCCGCACACTCCAGCTGCGCCAGGTGCGCCATGTTCGGGGCACGTGCAGAGTGCGTCAGGTGCGCCTGCGCACGTGACAGCACACATCGGGAAACATGTCGGCCCCCGCCATCCTTGTCGAAAACCAATGCCCATCATTTTGTCTGGTGGGCCTGCGCACAGCAGGCCACGCGCCACCACCCCCGCGGTCCCTGTCAAGCACACTTTGATAGTGATCGTGGGATGGCCGCACATGATCCAGATGTAACCGCGAGGTGCCTGTTGTATTGTTTTTTTGTCATGGATGGCAGCCCTGCGCACGGCAGGGAATATGCTGGCCCCCCCGCCGTCCCTGTCAAAAGCAGTACAAAGTGCTCGCGGACCTCACGAACATGACCCAAGACTTTGCTGCACAGTGTGCTTTGCATTGGTTTTTGACATGGATGGTGGGGGGGCCGCATCGGGTTGGCCGCGCATGCTCCACATGTGGAGGCAGAGTACGGTGTGTATTGTTTTTTTGACAGGGACGGTGGGGGGCGGGTCGTCATGGTGTCCTCATGGCTCTTGGTTGGACTGGAAGAAGGGTTCTTTGGGAGAGGAAGGAAAGAATTCGTTAGACCGCCTGTCGTCCAGAGGGCTGGCGGGATTCGCAACTTTTGAAGTCACTGAAGCTTTGCCATATACACTTGGAGAAAGCGATGACTGGGGGATGGTTTCTTGTGTGCGTGAATGTCCTGGTCTACGGTAGGTTCGCGTCGTGTCGACACGGCGGCTACCTCGCCGCGGGCGTCCAAGGTTGAAAGCCACCAGCCCAGAATCGGCCATTGAAAAGCCGCTGATCGATTGAATGGTCATCACTGCGTCACGAATAAAAGCCGGTGCTGTCAGGGCGCGATCCAGCCTGAGAACCAAGCGTCCCCGTTTCCGGGGCCCTGGTCGAAGGCTGCAGCACGCAGCGCCGCAGCGCTGCCTTCAGGGGCGGAAGGCCCCTCGCGCGTCTGCCCACCGCGGCACTGCCCGAGCAGTCGCCGGTGCCGCTGCGAGTCGTCTTTCTGTGCCTGGGTCTTCGGAGCCCTGGCGAGCGGCGCCCGGCGCCCAGGGCCCGGACTGAAGGCTGCCGTCCGAGGGCGCGGGAGGAGGAGCAGAACACGGAGGGGCGGGCGGTGGCAGAGCAGCGGTGGCGCACCCATTCGCATTGCGATGCGGGATGCGACAGGGCGCAGGCGTCGCGGGCATGCGGACGCAGTGGGCACGCGCCTCGGCGTGCAGGGCTGCGGCGGCACCTCGGAGAAATCGACGCGGGGAGCGGAGGGGTGTCCGTGGGGCCCAGGTGTGGGCCTCCAGCGGGTCGCCATTGGGTCTGGGGTGAGGTGGGCGGCCTTCTGAGAAGTCCCGCTGCCTTCTCAGAAGGCCGCGCCCACAGCCCCCCGACGGCGTGATGTGCGCTCACGGCGTCAGTCCCCGAGCCCCTCGACACCTCCCCTGTGCGACAGCCCTCTTCCTCCCGAGCCGCGCTTCCGTGGCCCGGGAAGAGCCGAGAACGCATAAAGTCTTGCCGTCTCGGTGGTCTCACGACGCAAGGGTGGTCTACGCGGAGGCCGCCTTTCCGCTCCTCGCCGGGGCGTTCTTTGGCACGCCGCGGGTTCCCCCCCCGTCTCTGGCTACAGGGATTCTCGTCAGAAGGACCCCCCTCTCCTTCTCTGCCCCCCCCCCTTGCGGCGCGCCTATCGGAGGGAATCCGAGTCTTACCCTCGCCGACCGACGACTCGCGCAACTCGATGGGCGGCGGAGCGAGGGTCCCGAGCTCGTGGTTGTGGGGGGAGAGGGTTCGGGTGCCAGCAGCGCCTAAGAGTGCCCAAAAGCTGTCCCATGTCTTGGCGGAGGAGAAGCGACACCACCGCCACCAGGAGGGGGGGGTTGTCGCGAGCGAGAGGGGAGGCCACACCACCGGCGGGACCCCTCCTGGCACCTCCCGCTGGTACTCCCAGGCGGTGGTGGTGGTGTCGCTGGCTGGTCCTGCTCGGTGTGTTGTGCCACGCGGGCCCCAGAAATGACAACCCCCAGGTGCCCAGAGTTGTTGGAACGTCTTTTTGCTGAGCTCGTCGCATCAGGACTCTCGGGAGGTTGCACTCAGCATCGGCGCTGGTGTAGATCCGTCGTCGAAAACCGGCCCAATTCGGCTCCATCCCGCTTGATCTGGCCTTGCACGTGGTTTAATCCCTGGTTGAATCAGGCTTCATCATGTCTTATCCGGCCTGATGGCCCTTGATACTCGGGCTTGATAGTCCTCAATCGTTCTTGCGACGACCTGCCACAAGGTGCCTCTTCAACGACATCATTCAGCCCAAGAGGTCCCGACCCATTCCTGGGGCGCTGTTTTTCGCCCCAGATTCATGTTTGATGGCCCCGGATCCTGACAAAGGTGTTCCAAAGGCCTTGATCGAGGAACAACGCTCAGATACAAACAGTCAGAGATGCAGTAAGCACCCGACAGAAGTCTCTGATCACTCGATTACCCCAGGAAGCCACGGAAGCTCGGTGGCACCTGAGGAGGTCAAAGGTCGACGAAGAAGGTGCCCAAGATTTCGTATGACAGCATGTTTCTTCGCATGTGCTTGTGGTATCTGGGATCGCATGATGACGTTCGATGTCGAACGCTGGCCTGATTCGGCTAACACCTGCTTAATGCGGCTTGATCCCCTGCTGTGAGCCCCTTATTATCGGGCCTGACAGCCTTTAGTCGATCTTGCAGAGGCTTCCTAGAAGGTGTCACGCGAGGCCTCCAGGAGTTTTTCTCGTATCTTACCCTGAGCCCCCATTGTCTCCTACATTGGAGACCGTTTCTAAACTCCCCGTCGATAGCGGGCGTGACCGGGGGTGGGGGGAGGGGGAGCTGGTCACGTCAAGGCACGATTCGCGCTGGCGCCGTCCGGGAAGTAAAGAAATAACCGATCCCTAGACGGCGCCAGCGCAAGTCGTGACGTGTGACGTGACCAGGGGGAGGGGATCGGGGCGGGGCCGGTCACGGGCGCTATCGCGAAGAGCAACCAAAGGGGCTCACGACACCATCCCCCTGCATTGACGACGACCACGACGGCGATGATGACCACGACGACGACGATGACGGCGACTTGCTCCGCGCGCAGGTCACCGAGGCGCCGGCGCGGCCGCCCGCCGCCGCCGCCGCCGCATCGGCGGGCGCACCGGGGCACCTCCGCCTGGTGGCGGGCCTGGCGGTGGCGGGCCTGCTGCTCTGCCGGGGCCTCGGCGGCCGCCGGCCGAGCTTGAGCCAGGCCGCTCAGAGGGGGCCCGAGTGGCTCCAGGCCTCCCAAATCGAGGTTTGAGGATCGAGGTGTTCCTGCAGTCAACCCGTGGAGTAAGGATGGGCGCAACCTTCCCAAGGGTACCCTTGCATCCTTGCCTCCTCGGTCCATCATTCGCCGCTTTCGCTGGCCGCGCCCCGCTCGAAGAACTTCGAGATGGGCTTCCTAGGCCCGTGCGTCCTCATCGCGCATCCTTACTGTAAGGGTTGACTGTACATGGGCGACGAAGAAAGACGGGCTCGTCTGCGCCGACATTGGCGCGTAAGCTGCTCGCGCACGGTCGCGCGTACGCGCCCTCGTCTCCACCTGTGGCGTGCCGCGCGGGCGGCCCGCGAGGCGTGAGCCCCGTGTTCGATCGTCGCCGACATCGTTGGTCTTCGGCGGTCTGGCAGTTTCGGCGTGCCTGTCCAGCAGCTGCGCCTCGCCGAGAGCCCCAGAGCGTCCCAGCCGCCAGAGACCCGAGTGGTGGCACGACCGCCAGGCCGCGGACTGCCCGTATGCACTTTGCCTCGATGGCGTGTCCCGAGGCGTCGTCGATCTGCGACCGGGGAAGGGTACGGTGTACAGCTGTTCGGCCTTCAAAGAGCCCGCCCCTGTGCTCCGTGCCGCGCTGGGGCGAGGCCTGAAGAGTCCAGTCATGGTTCGGTGCATGAGCGCCGTTCTCCTGAGGTGGGGTCCGAGCGGATGGGGTCGGAGCATCGCGCCGCATCGCCGATGCATCGGCGATGCGGCTCGATGTGGAGCCTGGTGTTCTCTACGCCGAAGGCGTCGATAAGTCGGCCGGTGCATCGCCGATGCATGGGCGATGCGGCCCGATCCTCCGACCCCACCTACTTGGACCTCAGACGGGAGGCCTCCAAGAACCGGGGGGGGCGTTCGATGCGGAGCCTCGCGAAGCAGATGTCCCGGACAGGGCGCGCCCAGGGAAAGACCCCGTTTCGCTCTCGTCGTCAAGGGGTCGTGGCGGAAGGCTTCGGCCGTTTTCGGCTTCTGGCGGCCCTCGCAAGGCCCCAGGTCCGTCGGAAATCGGCCCGGGATGAGAAATCGGTCCCCGCGAATTGGTCGAGACCTTCATGGGGAGCAAAGCACGACGGGGTGGGCTTGAGGGATCGGGAGGCGTTCCAGGAAAGACCTCGCCGCTCAGCATCTTCTCACCTGGGGGGGGGGGGGAGGGGGGAGGGCGGCCAGTGGGGCACCCCTGGAGGTCCCGATCCATTCCCTGGAGGTCCCGAGCTGTTCTTCCCGCCCTGTTCTTGGCGGCCCGGAGGCTCGGTGCGGGCCCCAGGGGGCCGAGCATGACCCCCTAAACTCCCCTCGATCAGGAGGTACAGAAACACACAGACACAATCAATCGTCGATTCCCCCCCGAAAATAAGGGAAAATATGGGAAGTGGGGGGGAAGACAAAAACCAAGAGAAAATGTGGGGGATCCTGCTAGTTGTGTCTACCTATTTGTGTGTCCCAGGGCCCCTTCACTCGAGGCATCCGTCGACTCGCCGTGCAGCTCCCCGCCTCTGGCGGCAGGCCGACGGCGGCAGGGCAGGACCCGGGGGGGGCGGCGGCAGGGCAGGCTTCGGTCGGGCATGTCCCCCAGACAGGGGGAATTTTGAACGAAAAATAAGGATACCCGTTCCCCAAAATAAGGATTTTGAAGGAAAAATAAGGATTTTGAACGAAAAATTCGATATTGTTGGATTATTTTTGAACACTCCCCCTCTGTAGAGGGACAGTCCCGACGGGAGGGCAGGCCTGCAGGGGGGCCGCCGCTCTGCCCCCGGGAGCGTCGGTGGCCCGTCGATGCCGTGGGCCTCGGGGCCGGCGGCGCGCCGAGGCTCGGCGTCGTCGAAGCGCTAAGTCGGGCCTGTCCCTCTGCAGAGGGGGGAGTGTGCAGAAATAGGCAAAAGAAATCGTCCGGGGGATTCTGTTTTGACCATGTTGGGGCCTCTCCTCTGTTATGTGTTTGGAGTTTCTGCCTTTTTCGTCCAGAGTCCCCCTGCAGGGGGGGGGGGGCCGACCTAACCCTCTCCCCCAAACCGGGCCTCGTGCCGACCAGCCCACCCCGAACTCGTGGGTGGAGAGCTCGCGACCCAGACCCCTTCGAGGGGTGGCACATCCACGGCGGGATGGTTTGCGCCAGTTCCGGCATCTGGGGGCCCTGACGCCCTTCGGGTCATGGTAATGATAAGATCTGGGATTTGGAAAAACGGCCTGGGATTTAGAGAATCCGTTGTTGACTTTTGCAGACCGGTTTGTGCGTTTACTGAATGATGTGTTGTCTTGTTTTGATTCGGCGGCGCAGTTTAATACATTCGTTTCTCTCGTTTCTCGCTTTAGTAGATCCTAGTTGTTGTTGTTTCATATATCGTTTTAAGAACGCGCGTTCATTCATTACCACGACCGATGTTAGCCGGTGATTACTGGGCCTCGGGATCGTCAACACACACGATTCGGTATGAGAAACCGGTCCCCGGGAATGGGTCGGGACCTCGGGAGGTCGACGTAATGAACAAATACTTACGTCGGGGGTCTTAGGACGGGGGAGGGGGGGGGAGCGTTCTCCGCTCCTGGGGGCCCTTACTGGGCCCCCGGGCACCGTCCACGAAGACTGCCCAGGCTAGACCACCGGTCCTGGGGGGTGGCTCGAGGCCTTCGGGAGACCACGCTGTGAAACAGGCACGACGTCGGAGGTTTTGGGGGGTCCCATCCCCGTCCCCACCAGGCCAGGGCATCGCAGCCTCACCAGCCCACCCTCCAAGGCGGAGAGAGGCCCCACGAAGCCCGAAGGAACAGGCATGCATCCCCACCTAGGTGGGTAAGCGGGTCCGTGGGGCCGAGGCCACGCGGCCACGCCACAGGGGATGGGGAGCGGATAACCCCTTCTCCGAGGCTGGAGCTTGCGCAGCCAAGGCGCTGGAGTAAAGATCACTTTCGGCTCAGGAGGGGCTCTGGTTGTTGGGCCGTTCCTTGGGCTGGCCGCGAATTGTCCTGTATCCATATCCGGGTATAGGTCTTGCTTCGCACCTGCTGGGATCTCACGCACCATCGCCTGCAGGAGCGCCGCAGGACGAGCACCGGACGTTGTCTCGGCAGTTCGTCCACCTGAGTTCTCTGGACAGCACTCTGTAGCGTAAATCGAATCCCCGCACAACACCTCCCTCCATCCTTTCACCCTCGTTCTCGCCGTCGCCCGCTCCATCTCACCCGCACTCTTCTTCCACACACCCTGAATGGGGCTCCTGTTTAAGACTTCCCTGCGGGATTATATTGCTCTTTACGGAGCTTCCTGCCTTTGGCAATCTCGTTACCTCTCATCGCTATCACGTGCCCCGCTCACTCCGTTTGTCACCCTCATCGTCACGTCATTCTCGCCATCAGCCCCACCGCACTCACCCATCATCATCAACAACATTAGCATCATCAGCATCATGATGGTTGCTCACGTGCGCTCACTGTTCTCTTCGTCTCTCTCACCTTCACCCTCCGCCCACATTTTCCCTCATCGTCATCACGCTCTCCGCCGCCCGCACTCTCGAAACGATCTGGAGAGCCGCCCCTGCTGCACGGCCTGCTAAGTTGAGTGGCGGTCCAGGTCGCCGTTCTGGCCCCTGCGGAAGTCGGGCCAGACGAAAGGGGGGGATAGGGAAAGGGAGGGGGGTACGAAATCTGCTGCATGCAGCTGGTTTCAGCAACACCGAGGGGCCCATTCCTCGATACATGGCCGCCTCCGGCGCCGGCAGGCGCAGGGAAAATCAGCTAGGTGAGCTGATTCTCAGACCCCCCCTTTGCTATCCCCCCCTTTCGCCCGGCCCGAGGAAGGCCTCCCTGCGACCGCGTGCCCGCGGGATCGCGCCCGAGGGCGTGGACGCGAACAGGCTCGCCGCTCGTGAGGCGTGCGGAAGCGAGCGGCCGCTCGAGGCGCGCGTGCGCCACGGGCTGCTGCCCGCGCGCGGGGCTGCAGAAGAGGCGGAGGTCCTGCAGAGGCCCACAGGGAGACCCGCGCAGGGGCTTCTGAAGGCCCGCGGAGGGCCAAGCGCGCCGGGGTTCGCGGCCAACATTTTTTTCAGTCCGTCCTCGTTCTCGTCTGAGCGTGTTGGCTCTCACAGTTACGTTCTGCCCTGTGGCCCTCGAGGAAAAAAACTCCATCTCGATCCTGCTCGATCCTCAGTCCTCCCTGCCCCTCCTTTCTTCTCACTCCTCCTCGAGCACTCCTCCTCCTCCTCTTCCTCCTCCTTCTCCTCCTTCTCCCTCCAACCTGCCCCCTCGACCGCCCCTCTGCGATTCCGGCGGTTTTGTGCCACCACCCGTCAATCTTCTCTCCCCTCTGGCGGCGCACGATGGTGACGATGATAATGATAATTTTGGTGATGATGATGGAGGTGATGATGTTGAGTTGATGTGGTGATGATGATGATGATGATGATGATGATGATGATGATGATGATGATGATGATGATGATGGTTATGATTATGATTATGATAATGATGTTGATGATTATGATACTCATGATGATCATGACGATCATGATGAACATGACGATGTTGTTGGTAACGATGTTGATGTGGATGATGCTGTTGATGTTGATGTTGATGAGGAGGGTCCTGGTGCGGGTGAGAGCGAGGGTGGGAAATGAACATGATGAAATGTTATGATGAAGGTGATGATTGTGATGTCGCTGGCGAGAATAGTTATGGATATTGCGATGGTGATTGTCATGTTGATGGTGTCGATGGTCATGTGGGTGGCGATGATAGTGATGATGGTGGTGCTGATGGTGATGATGTTGCCGCGGGTGGTGAAAACATGTTGTTGTTGCGATGCTTTCTTTGTTGAAGATTCAGACGGGGATAATGTCGATGATGGTGGTCATAATGATGACGCTGATGCCGATGATGATGGAGGTGATGATGTTGTTGATTGTAGTGATGATGATGCTGATGCTGATGACGATGCTGATGATGATGATGGTGGTGGTGATGCTGATGATGATGATGATGCTGCTGATGCTGATGATGATGATTATGCTGATGATGATGATGATGCTGATGATGATGATGATGATGATGATGACGACGATGATGATGATGATGATGATGATGATGATGATGATGATGATGATGATGATGATGATGATGATGATGATGATGATGATGGTGAGGGTGATGGTAAAGTTACGTCTGCGGGTAGCGCCGTCTGTGATCGAAGGGGCGCCCGCCGGGATCGAAGGCGGGCCGGGGAGGGGGGGGACGATCGGGCGGCCGCCGGTGCGTCAGAGCCGAGGTGGCAGCTCCCTCGGCTGTGCGGCCTGTGTCAGGAGTGGGGCGGTGCTCGAGCTGCAGGGGGTGAAGGGGGGTTGTCGTGCCCATGCGGGGGGACCTGGATTAGAGGAGGCGGAGGAGGACGAGGATGATGCGGAGGAGGAGGAGGAGGAGGAGGAGGAGGAGGAGGAGGAGGAGGAGGACGAATTGGAGGCGGAGAAGGAGAAGGACGAGGAGGAGGAGGAGCAGGAGGAGGAAGAAGAGGACGAGGAGGAGGAAGGGGGCATGCAAGGAGCACGAGGAGGACGAGGAGCATGATGTATATAGAGATGGAGGAGGGAGGGGGGATGCGGGCGATTATGCTGAGGAGTAGGGCGGCCATCTGGATCAGGAGGGCCAGAGGGAGAACGGAGGAGGAGGAGGAGGAGGAGGAGGAGGAGGAGGAGTGTCAGGAGCACCAGCAGTTAACGCTAATGAGGGCGAGTGTGTTTGCATGGAGGATGGGGGGGGGGGGCTGACTGTGCGGAGGGCGAGTATGACTGCAAGGAGTAAGCGGATGAGAATGAGGAGGAGGGTGAGGGAAATTGATGAAAAGGTTTGTATGGAGGACCCGAAGGGTGAGACCGAGGATCAGGTCAGCGGGTGTATGCAGGATGAGGACGAGGAAGAGGGGAGGAGGAGGAGGGGGATCGAGGCGCAGGAGACAGTGGGAGAGCGGCGTAATTGGGGATGGGTGGCCAGTTCATTGCCTAGGGTGGGGGCGTTCGTTCAGGAATTTTCCCAGAAGGCTTCATACCCTGGAGGATTCCTTATCTGATGAGGGCGGCGGTGCCATCTACTGCCGAGCCTCAATTTGCGTTCACGGTTTGCAGGCCTTGGATTCTTTCTCGGAGAGTTCTTTTTTTCATTGCCCTCACAGCATCCATTTCCTCCAACGCTCACCTTCGCGCTCCTACTCCTCCTGCTCCTCCTTCTCCTCCTCCTCCTCCTGCTCCCCCTCCTCCTCCTCCTCCACCTCCTCCTCCTCCTCCTCCTCCTCCTCCTCCTCGTAGGCCTCCAGGTTGAGGTCCCCGAAGGCCGCCCCACCAGAAAAACCATCGCCCAACCAACCTCCTCTGCCCTTCCCTCCCTCAGTAATTACAACGTCTGAGAACCTCTCCCCTCTCTACCTTGAAACTGATTTCTTTTTTCCTCGCCTATCCTACCTCGGTTTGTTTCTCACACCGAAAATGCCCCGATTTGATCACAGTGGGAGGCCGAGCGGACCTGTCTTACACTGTCCCTGGGCGCATTGCTGAAGCGTGGCTCCGCGGTACCGATGTTTGTCGTGCCGTGTTTCGCTGCTTTCGTCTGTTCAATAACTTAGCACATGTTTTAGCTGGACCCCGTAAGCTTCTTGGCGTTCTCGCCTCGGCGCTGGCTACTTTTCTGCGACAGCAGTAGTCACGATCGAGCGTTTCGAGGGTCCGCCAGAACAACCCCCCGCCTCAACAACAGCGCGCCCGCTCGAGAGCTCCTCATCTGCATTTTCTCAGGACTTGTGCTCATGCTCGCCGCTGGAAGCTGGCCATCCAAGAAAACTGCACTCCGGACAGGCGTTTTCGCCTCGGCGTTGCACGGTTGAGTCGTCGTGGACTTCTTGGGTTTTACCTGGGAGCACCTGTGGGTGTCTTGGGAGCTGTTAGAGAACCTGGTGGAGCCTCCTGGAGGCAGTTTTGAAGCGTCTTGGGTGCCATTGTGGGACCTCTTTTGGGCCTCGGCCTCTTGGGGGCCTCTTGGGGCCTCTCGTGGATCTCTTTTGGGCCGCTTGGGGGCTTCTTGAGGTAGTTTTGGGGCATCTTGGGGCGGAAAGATCAGGTTCTCGGTTAGCGTTCTCCCTCTTGGCCTCTCTTGGGGCGGCCTTTGGCAGTCTTGGGCCCCTTTTTTGGCCGTCTTGGAACCCGGTTGGGCCGTCCTGGGGCCCTCGTAGCGGCCTCTTGGGTGATTGTGGGGCGGTCTGCGGGGCCTCTGGGGCCGTCCTGGAGGGAACTTCGAGAAGACGGGACCCCCAAACACCAAGGACAACGATTTTTTCTCTGGGGCCTTTTTGGAAAAGCTCTTGTGGCGTCTCGAAGGCGTCTTGGGGCGTCTGCGATTCCGGTCCGCCTCGGAACGTCGCTGATGCCGCGGAAGGCAGATTGGAAAGCTCAGGAGTCTCCAAGGGTGCACCCAGGAGCCCGGATACCCCCCCTGAAACGAGATTCTCGACATTGTGGGAGGGGGAAAGGCGGAGGGGGACAGCCAATCATCTCACACGCCTTCTCACCCCTGGCAAGCGGGGGTCGGCGGGGTCGTCCTCCAATGACCCCCTTCCCGCATGCACAGCAAATGGCAAGTCAAATCCTGTTATTGCGATTGGAAAATCAAGGTCGTCAAGGATACCCCAGCCAGCGAATAGAACAGGATCCAGCACAGCGCAATTTGGGAAGTGATGGGTGGGAGGATTAGGATGGCGCGAGCACGCCCAGTTTGTCTCCATCCTCTCTGCCACCTCCCCTCCCGTCCCCTCGCCTGCTCCGTCGTTGTTGCTTACGCAGGCTCCTTGGGAGCTCTCCTCCTCTTCAATCCGCTCATCCGCCTCTTCCCTCCTCCTCCTCGCCACCACCGAGGGGCGCTCGCCATCTCTCATCCTCTGGCCCTCGCAGCGCCTTCGCCTCATCCACCACACCATCTCCTCCTCCCCCGCTCCTCATCCTCCTCCTTCCCCGACCCTTGAGAGGAAGGATCAGCTGAAACTCCGGCACCGCCCGTGCACGGCTCGCGTTTCGGCTCCCTTCGCCAAGTCGTTTGCAGTGGGACGCGCGCCAGCGCCGTCCGCTCGCAAGGTAGGAACGCGCCGCCCCATTCCAAGTCTTGACCTGTGTCGGAGGCAGGGTGGGTCCTGGCGGGGGGCCGCTGACTCGTTCGACCTGCCCCGAAGGCAACAACTGTTATTAACCTTCCGAGCGAGAGGCGGTGGGGGCTCCTCCCCCCCCCCCCGGCGCAGGAGGGAGAGGCTCAAGCGCCGCAGCCGTGGCGCAGGGACGACTGGCGCCAAGGCCGCGCTCCACGACGTCGTCTACGACCACGGCTCCGGCGTCACCGTGGCCTCGCCCGCGAAGGCGGCAGGGCGGGCTCGTGCCGGGCGGGCGCCTCCTCGGCTCCGACCGCCCGGCAGCAGAGCGCCGCACAGCGCGGAGGGCCCCGACCTCTCCTCCCGTCGTTTCGGATGCAACTCCTGGGAGGTCAAACTCCTATTTTGCCCTGGTCCGAAATCCGGCCGGCTTCATCCCGCTTGATCCGGCGCAACCCCGCTGAATCGGGCTTAATCCGAGGCCCCCGCCGGCGTAGCAGCCCCCCAATGGGGCTCAATTTTCAATCCTTCCGACGAAGGTAGCCCAGTAGTTGCTTCCTAACGTCGTGAAAGATCACGGCGGACGGCTTTTTGGTAACTGTAGACCCTGGGGGGCCCTCGCTGAGCCCCAGGGCCGTCAAGAAACCGCTCGGGAGATGGAGAGCTGGTCCCCGGGCCCCCGGGGACCGGGTCGAGGCCTCTGGGGATCCACGTTGAGAATCAGGAGTCATGGCGCCGAGGGTTCTGGGAGGAGGGAAAGGCATCGGGGGGGGGGAAGGGGAGGGGGCAGGGAGGGGGCGCTCGAGCAGGGGGGTGGAAAGGGGAGATGGTGCAGGAGGAGCAGCAGCACGAGCATGTGGAGGCTGATGAGGACGAAGTGGAGCGGGTGAAGCAGACACAGTTTTACCTAACAGCGAAGACTGATAGGTTTCTAGTTGACTCAAAAGAGCTCACAGATCACTCCACAGGGGGGTCCGGGCAGGTGTTGGGGCGTTTCCGGGCGGCATGAGCCGGGCTCGTTTTTCACCAACAGTCACACACTTCGTGCTCTTCGCCTTCCCAGAACTCCATTCCCAGGCCACATTCTGGGGGGCCGGATGCAACAGTCACACACAAAGTGCTCTTCGACATCCCAGAACGCCATTCCCGGGCCACATTCTGGGGGGCCGGATGCAACAGTCACACACTTCGTGCTCTTCGAGTTCCCAGAACGCCATTCCCGGGCCACATTTTGGATGCCCGGAGCCAACTGTAGGCCACTTCGTGCTCTTCTATTTCCCAGAACTCCATTCCCGGGCCACATTTTGAATGCCCGGAGCCAACTGTAGGCCACTTCGTGCTCTTCGAGTTCCCAGAACTCCATTCCCGGGCCACATTTTGAATGCCCGTAGCCAACTGTAGGCAACTTCGTGCTCTTCGACTTCCCAAACTCCCATTCCTGGGCTACATTTTCAGCAGGGGCAAGAGCACGACGAGGGGGAGGACGAGCAAGACCAGGAGGACGAGGACGAGCAGGAGCAGGACGAGGAGCAGGAGAAGCAGGAGAAGAAGGACGAGCAGGAGGAGGAGGAGGACGAGCAGGAGGAGGAGGACGACCAGGAGGAGGAGGACGACCAGGAGAGGAGGAGGAGGAGGAGGAGGAGGGGAGGGGGAGGAGTACCAGGAGGAGGAGGAGGAGGAGGAGGAGGAGGGAGGAGGAGGAGGAGGAGGAGGAGGACGAGGACGAGGAGGAGGAGGAGGAGGGGGGGGGAGAGTACCAGGAGGAGGAGAACGAGGACCACCAGGAGGAGGAGGAGGAGGAGGAGGAGGAGGAGGAGGAGGAGGAGAGAACACCAGGAGGAGGAGGACGAGCAAGACGAGGAGGACGAGAACGAGGACGACCAGGAAGAGGAGGAGGAGGAGGAGGAGGGGAGGGGGAGGACTACCAGGAGGAGGAGGAGGAGGAGGAGGAGGAGGAGGAGGAGGAAGAGGAGGAGGAGGACGAGGAGGAGGAGGAGGAGGACGAGGAGGAGGAGGGGGGGGAGAGCACCAGGAGGAGGAGAACGAGGACCACCAGGAGGAGGAGGAGGAGGAGGAGGAGGAGGAGGAGGAGGAGGAGGAGAGAGCACCAGGAGGAGGAGGACGAGCAAGACGAGGAGGACGAGAACGAGGACGAGCAGGAGGAAGAGGAGGAGGAGGAGGAGGAGGAGGAGGAGGAGCAGGAGGAGGAGGAGGAGGAGGCAGGCTGAGGCTGAGGCTGTGACTGCGACTGCCGTTGCCGCTGCGACTGTCATCGCGAATGCGACTACGACTGCGAGAACAGCAGAATTCGACAACTGGATTTTCATCTGAATCTTAAGGGGAATGCTTTCAGATATGCTTCTACACATCGCTGTTAGGTTGCTTTGCCGGGATAATTAATATGTGTTTATAGACATACCTATTTGTGTTATATATACATACATATATATACATATATATATATATATATATATGGGTCGGAGGCCTCTTAGATGCTCGGTGGGATCTCGTCGAGGCCTCTCGTAGGCCTCCTGGAGGCAGTTGTGCGTCCTTTGTGTGGAGATGTTTTGAAATGTTGGGGTCTCCTTTGGGCCTCTGGGGGGGCCTCGTTGTGCCTTCTGGGAGCCTCTTGGGGCCTCTTGGGGGCCTCTTGGGGCCTCCTGGGTCCCTCTTGCTCGGTTTGTCGATTCGTGTTCCCCCTCTTGGTCCCCTCTTGGAGCCGTCTCGTGGCTCGCTTCGGCCGTCTTGGGCGCCTCTCGGGCCATCTTTGGCCCCTCTTGGGATGTCTTGAGACCCTCTTCGGGGCCTCTGGGGCCGTCCTGGGGCGGTCCCAGCGTGGACCCCTAACAGTGAGATCTAGCATACCATGTGGTGCAATCTATGTCGTGCAAGATATGTGGTGCAGTCTATGTGGTTCACTATTTGTGGTGCTAGCTATGCTTTGGAATTAACTTCTGTTCGCAGTGAGTTGTCCACTCCACTGCTCGCGCAAACATCCCACCCACCCACCCGCAACTTGGTTTGCAAAATCTCTTAAGACCGTGACGGTTGGTACCACATGGCGTTTGGCAACAACAGCGACACCGACGACGACAGCGACAACGACGATGACGACGCCGCCGACAACGACTACGACGACACCGACGACGTCTCCAACGACTTCGACGACGCCGACAACGACGACGACGACGACACCGACGACGACGACGACACCGACGCCGACGATGACGACGATGACAAGACGACGACGATGACGACGCCGACGACGACGATAACGACGACAAGGATGACGACGACGTCAACGACGCCGACGACGACGACGACGACGACGACGACGACGGCGACGACGACGACGCCGACGTCGACGACGACGAAGACGACAACGACGCAGACGCCGACGACGACGAAGACGACGACGACGTCGCCAACGAAGACAACAAGGAAGGAGGGAGGACGACGACGGCGACAACGACGACAACGACGAGGGAGGAGGGAGGACGACGACGACGCGAACGACGAAGAAGGAGGAAGGACGGCGACGCCGACGACGGCAACGACGAGGGAGGAGGGAAGACGACGACGACGACGACGACAACGACGACGACGACGACGACGACGACGGCGACGAAATAGGAGGGACGACCACGAGACGCCGACGACGGACGACGACGACGACGAGGGAGGAGGAGGAAGGACGACCACGGCGACAACGACGACGGAAACGACCACGGTGCCAAAGAGGACGACGACGACGACGAACACGAGGAAAGACAGAGGACGACGTAGGCGACGACGACGACGACGACAACGACGCGGGAGGAGAGAGGACGGCGACGACGACGACGACGACGCAAGAGCGCGCGCGCACTTTTTTGTTGAAAATCCGTGTTGCGAAACCTTGTGTTTTCGTAGGTTTTTTGGACACGATTTTGAAATCCTTCCGAAACCGATGGGTTTTGAATGTTTCCGGCGTGCGCGCGCGACGACGCGCGCGTCTGCACTTCGTCCCGTTTTTTGCAGGGGATTCTCGCGACGGCACACGCGCAAGGGCGTTCGACAGATTTCGACATGAGCGCGCGCGAAGCCAGTTTGGTAGCATTTTGTGAAAGTCTTGAAAAACCGATGGTTTTCTCAAGATCTCGCAAGAGCTTTCGCGGAAGATTTTTTGCAACTCTGTGTTGCGAGACCTTGTGTTTTTGTATGTTTTTTGGAAATTCGATTGCGAAATCTTTCCAGCACCGACGGTTTTTGAAGGATGTCGGCATGCGCGCGCGACGACGCGCGCGTGTGCACTTCGCTTTTTTGTTGTTCAAGGGGTTCGTGAAAAGTGTTATGTTAGAACAAAAAATGTCACTGCATAGTGTTTTTTAGAAGGGAACCTCAGGGGGGGAACCCGGTTTGGCTGGGATGGTACGATTCTGTATTTAGGATGGACGAGTGTGCAGGATATATATATATATATATATATATATATATAATTATAAATCTATAGATGGGAAATCATATTAACCCAGGGGGGAGCGATAAGTCCGGGGGAGGGGGGAGAGTCTATCAATATTTTAGAAAGGAGAGTTGATGCTGTATGCTGTAAAATCGGTATGCGCGCGCGACGACGCGCGCGTGTGCAATTCGTCTTTTTCAGCTGCGAGGAATCCTTGCCACTGGATTTTTTGTGATGAATGAATATGTGCGCGCATATGGTTATTTGACGAACGGGGGGTCGAATCCGGCTGGGCTGGAAGATACGACTTCGTATTTCGAACGAACGATGGGGCCAAACGATGGGCGGGTATCAACTGCACATCCCCAGGGGGACGGCGATAACCTTGGCCCAGGGGGCGCGGTCGATCCGTTTTTTCGGCGCGTACACGTGGTGGAAACTACGTGGTACAACTGGAACGAAACATCATGTGTTGTGTAAGCAGCGCGATGCCACTTATGACGCGTGAGCTATGTCATGTAAGATGCGTCGTGCTATCTGCTGTAAGCTATGAGGTGCAACGTGTGTGGTGCAATAGATGTGGTGCAAGCTAGGGGTACACCTGTGATGGTACAGTTCACCGTGCCAAACTTGAAATTGTCAGTTCTACTGCTCGCGCAATCGCCCCACCCACCCACCCGCAACTTGGTTTGCAACACCCAGGCGGCGGCGATTTCGATGACTTCTTGGCATTCGCTGGCGCATCGTTGCATCTTTCCTAACGCGCAGGCTCGCGCGCAGAGCGGCCGGATTGTCTGGCGCGACCGACGCAGCCGCGGTGGCGCTGAACGCTGGGGACTTCCCAGCGCGTGTCGAAGGCCGCGCTGACGCGCGGGCATTTCTGCGCGAGTCGGTTATTCGGCCGAATGCGGTATCATGACGATGTCGACAACGGCAGACATGAGGATGATGATTGCAGCGATGCCAGTGACGACGGTGACGATGACGACGACGGGGCCAATGACGGCGGCGATGCGGATAACGCCGGTGACGATGATGTCGTCCACATGTCGGCGATGAAGTTTGCGAGCGGATTTCGGCATGCGCGCGGGGCCGACGGGCGCGAGTGGCCCGCACGGCGCTTTTTGCACAGGATCGCGCCCGCACCCCGCCCCCCCCACACCACGCGCGCAGGGGCGTTTGAATGATTTTGAAATGCGCGCGCGAGGGGCACGCTTGATTTATTCGGACGAAACGAATTTCGCAACAACCCGGGCACATTTTCCGGGAAACCCAGATTGTACATTTCATCTATATATATATGTATATATATATATATATATATATGTATATACATATATATATATATATTTATCGGGCCACCCGGTTTAAACATCCTTGTGCATTCCAGACATTTTGCTGGATTTCGGCACGCGCGCGCGACACCGCCCGCGTGTGCATTTCGCCATTTCAATAAACGGGCTTGCGCGCATCATTTCGTCATGCATGGGGTGACGGGGGAAGGGGGGTCGAACCCAATTTGGCTGGGACCTTACGACTCATCCAGCAGGAGCCATGGACAGAGCGTATGTGGATTCTACATCCCCATGGGGGGCGGATGATCCCCGGGGGGGGTGGTGCATCCTATTTCGTTGGTAGAAGTGGAATATCCGTAGCTATCTGTTGCAATCCATTGCGCACGATTGCAATGCAATGGGGTTGGGGAGGGGGTGCAACGGGACGGCGGCGACGGCCGGCGAAAGGCCGCGACGAGGGGGCGACGGGCGGCGACGGCGACAACAAACGCGGCAACCGACTCCCGGGCGCATTGAAGTGGCGACGGACGGCGGCGACGGGTGTCGACGGCGACAAAAGCACGTCTTCCGTCACCCGAGCCCAAAGGCAGCGGCGACGGACGGCTGCGACGGGCGGTGGTGTATTTCGACCAGGACATGTTGCAATATACGTGGTGCAGTAGATGTTGTACCATCTATGTGGTGCAGTCGATGTTGTGCAGAGTAGGTGGTGCAATCGATGTGGTGCAATCTCCGTGGTGCGACCTATGCGGTGCGACCTATGTGGTGCGACACATCAATGCACAGCTAAGCCAAGCAATTCGCAGCAATGCGAAGCAACGCAAAGCGATGCAAAGCAACGCAAAGCAAAGCAACGCAATGCAAAGCAATGCGGAGCAATGCAAAACAGGTGCCAGCCCGAGCGATCAAGACATGTGACGGTTGCGGCGAGCGACGACGGCTGCGACGGGGCGGCGACGGCGACGGCATAAGTAGCCGCCAGACCGCCCAATCGGCCAAGATAAGTGGCGGCGACGAGGCAGCGGCGGGGATGCGACAGGCGACGGGGCGACGACACAGCCGCCAGACCGCCCAACCAGCCCTGTTCCTTTGGACCTTAGGAAACAAGTGCGATGTCCTAAGTGCAAGCACTGCTCGGAGAATGATAATATATGACAGGACGAGAAAGAGGATGAGTGAGGCAAAGGAGGTGGATGATGATTATGAGGAGGAGGAGGAGGAGGAGGAGGAGGAGGAGGAGGAGGAGGGACGATGATGAGGAGGAGGGGCAGCAGGAGGAGGGAGTAGGCGCAGGAGGAGCAGGAGCAACAGGACGAGCAGGCGGGGCAGCAGCTGAAGGAACAGCAGCAGGAGGGGGAGGAGGGGGCGCAGGAGGAGCAGGTGCAGGAGGAGCAGCAGGAGCATGCAGAGGAGGAGCCAGGGGAGAAGCAGGAGGAGGAAGAGGAGGGAGCACAGGAGGAGGAGGAGGAGGAGGAAAAGGAGGATGGGGCGCAGAAGGAGGAGGAGGAGGAGGAGGAGGAGGAGGAGGAGGAGGAAGAGGGGAAGAGGAGGAGGAGCAGGCGGAGCAGGCGGAGCAGGCTGAGCAGGAGCTGGAGGAACAGCAGGAGGAGGACGAGGCTGGCGGCAAGGGAACCCTCCGCGCGAAATGCAGAGGGGGTGTAGAGCTCCTCCGCGGGGGAGAGGCTCTGTTGCGGGCGGTCGGCGCCGAGGGGTCCACAGACTGTGTCTGCGGAGCCAGACGTCCGACGATGTAATTTCCAGCCCCGAGATACTAGGCCTCGCAAGTGAGGTCAGAGTAGATGGGATTGAAGGATCGCGCCGCATCGACGATGCGGCTCGATGTGGAGCCCGCGTTTCTCGCCGGTGCATCGCCGATGCATGGCCCGTGCATCGGCGACGCATATCGGCGAGACGGCGCGATCCTCCGACCACGTCTAGTTTCGAGCCCCACTTATAGACACCCTGGCGTCGCATAAACTTTTCACTCCCGAGCGGCGAACGTCTCCGTATCCGCGCCCCGCGCCCTCGCGGTCTAGATTCCGTGGCGCGTTCCCGCGGCTACGCGGTCGCACGAACACTTTCTTTTGGGCTTGTTTTCCACCACCACCACCTCCATAAGTTGGAGCGTCCTCCTTCTCCACCACCTCCTCCTCCTCCTCCTCTTCGTCCTCCTCCTCCTCCTCCTCCTCCTCCTCCTTCTCCTCCTCCTCCTCCTCCTCCTCCTCCTCCTCCTCCCCCTCCCCCTCCACTTTATGGTGGTGGTGGTGGTGGTGGAAAACAGGCCCATCACTTTCCGTGCGGGGCGTCCGCGGAAAAAGTTGCCCGTATCCGCGGGGCCGCGGCCGAGGAGGCTGGCCCCCCAGGCCGCGGACACGAATATGTGGTTCGCCCACGATTTCCAGCGGGCACTGCTGCCCAGTTTCGGGCAACGGGAGCCATCACAGGTCGATCCGGCGCGGGAATCGCCGCAGAATGATGGGAGGGCTCCGGTCGTTTTTTTGTTCGCGACGTTGGATCTCTTGCGCGACCCCACAGGTGCCGATCCCCCCCGGGGGACAGCATTGCGCCCCAGGTCCACGGCTGTATGGCCCCGGGGCCTCACAGCGGCCCCCAGTTCTGGAGGCCGAAATGTAGACGACGAACGCGGCCCGGATCGAACGAGGCCCTCTCGTCGGACATCTGGGGCCCGCGAAGGCCTCCGACGGCGCGCGCCCCTTGGCAGAAGAGGCGCCGGGCCGCCCCCCCCACCCGCATCGGCGGTGGCCGCTGGAGCCCGCCGCCCGCTCCGCGGAGGCGGCGCAGCACGCCGCCGCCCCGGCGGCGCCAAGCCGCGGCGCCCGTGGGGAGCCAGGCGGCCGTGTGTCGGGGCTCAAGAGACGTGGGGCAGTGCAAACGGGGGCCTCCTCCTCCTCCTTCTCCTTCTTCCCCAGACGCTCCAACCTCCTCCTTCTCCTCCTCCTCCTCCTCCTGCCTTCTCAGATCCAAGTTGTGATTCTTCACCTCATCCCTAAGGCCCTTCCTGGTCTTAGGCCGATCGGTCTTTTTGGGCGGCTATACCGCGCTTGGGCTAAAATTCGTCGCTCCCTTGCGCTCGCTTGGGAAGAAGAGAATTATCGAGCTTGGTTTGCTGCTGGGCGGTTCATGGGAGCTGCCGATACTGTCTGGAGGCAGGCCTTCCGCAGCGAGGGTGGTGTTGCCTCTGGACAGTGTGCCTGCACGCTCTTATGGGACTTCCAGAAGTATTATGAAAGTGTTGATTTACATCGGATGTTGGCGCGTTGTGCGCAGCACAGGTGTCCAATTGCTGTGGCCAGGCTGTGTTATGCCGCTTATCGAGGTGCACGGCACCTCGCGCTCTCAGGTTGCATCACTTCGGTGTACTACGCCGAGTGCGGGATCATAGCCGGCTACACTTTTGCGACGACCCTGATCCGGGTCAGCAGCCTGGACAGTTTGGACAAGATCGTTTGGCCGGTCTGCGTCACGTATGCCCTTTATATAGATGACAATGCGGCGGGAGTCGTCGCTTCTCTGGTCAGTGCCACTCACCAGCTGCACGTTGCCGTCACCGAGGGCATCGGGGCCACGTTGGCACAGGACAATGGTGCTTAAATTTGTTATTGCAAAAGAGTGGGCGTAAACATCCAAGAAGTTTTGTGTGTGAGTGTTTGACGGGTCCTCTTGTGTCCTCGGCCCCCGACCTTGGTGTTGATGACACGGTAGGCACCCCAGTTAAACACTTCGGTAGGAATGCCAAGGCTAAAGCTCGTCAGGCTGCCGCCTCCCGTCGAGGCAAACGCGTTGGGAAACTCGCCAGAACGATCGGACGTAAGGCTCGAAATGTCTTGTGCTCCGGGGTCTTGCCTGCCTCGACCTACGGGGTCGAAGTGCACGGATTGAGTGACTCGGAGCTCTTGGCCCCTTCGTCGTTCGTCTGCTAGTACCATCAAGCCTTCGGCTGGGGATCGTAGTCTTAGCATGTTACTTTTTGCTCGAGCGTGACCCCACCGGGACCGCCCAGGTGGCGCCCAATTGTAGGTGGCACAAGGAGCTCTGGCATAGTCATTTGGCTGTCCACCCCATCCATCTTGGTTCTTCGTGAGTGTATGGTTTCCTGGGAAGCCGTTTTTTCCAAGGACTCGAAAACCTGGAGGAGTGTGGCTGGGCCTACTTCAGCGATGAGGAAGAGTCTCGAGCGCATCAGTTGGCAGATGCCCAATTTCGCCACGCTGATCGACGATCGCGGCATGGAGATCCCGCTCCTCGCGATGTCTCCAGCTCTGGTTCGCCATCATTTGAGAGACGCCGTTTTTCGTCAACTGGAATGGGATATTGGAGCGAAGCTTGGGTACAAGGGGAGGGCTTGCTTTGACGTGGTGTCTAACTGTTTGGCCAGCAAGCGGTTCTCCCCGGCTGAAAAAAAGGGGCACTATTCGAGCTCTTGCCACGGGAGCCATTTGGTGTCGTACCTACGCCCGGTCGAATGGCTACATGTTCCCCGAGATGTGTGATTTTTGCAGTGCTGCTCGGGATACTCTTTTTCATCGTCTTCGGGTTTGTCCATGTCTTGATAAAGAACGTCGTGAATATGTTTCGGGCCGGGCGAAAGGGGGGGATTGGGAAAGGGGGGGCTACGAAATCTGCTGCATGCAGCTGGTTTCGGCCTCACCGAGGGGCCCATTCCTCCATACATAGCCGCCTCCGGCGCCGGGAGGCGCCGGGAAAATCAGCTACCGGTCGAATGGCTACATGTTCCCCGAGATGTGTGATTTTTGCAGTGCTGCTCGGGATACTCTTTTTCATCGTCTTCGGGTTTGTCCATGTCTTGATAAAGAACGTCGTGAATATGTTTCGGGCCGGGCGAAAGGGGGGGATTGGGAAAGGGGGGGCTACGAAATCTGCTGCATGCAGCTGGTTTCGGCCTCACCGAGGGGCCCATTCCTCCATACATAGCCGCCTCCGGCGCCGGGAGGCGCCGGGAAAATCAGCTACGTGAGCTGATTCTCAAACCCCCCCTTTGCTATCTCCCCTTTTCGCCCGACCCGAATGTTGATGCTGATGTGCTTGCAGGCGTGAAGGACTTTGCTTCGACGAAGTCTCGGTTTCTGACTTTGATTCGAGGTGGTCTGCCGCACCCTGCTGACGATCACCCACCCCCGCTCACTGAAGGTGCCTTGCAGGTTGATTGGAATCAAGATCTTCCTCCGCCCCAGCCTTTAGCGATCCAGGGAAAGAACTTTATTGACGGTTCTGCTTCGCGGCACCCCATCAGGGAGGTCAGCCGGGCTTCTTGGAGTGCCGCCATGTTTTCCGACGACGGGATTCACCGGTGCACCATGCGTTGTCCCGTTTGGGCCCCGCTCCCGCAAACGCCCCAGGCTGGGGAATTCTCGGGGCTTTGGGGTGCAACTTTGTGTCTTGTCGGGCCGTCAGAGCTCGTCACAGAGTGTGCCAATGTCAAGCAGCAGCACGAAGCCCCACGTGATCGCCAGTTCTCGTTCAAAAGGATGTGCGCTGGCATTTTTGTGCAGCTTCTTGCTCGCCCCGAAAGGTAACGTATCACTGCCGTCTCCAAGGCGAAAGCTCATTTAAGTTTGAACGAAGAAGGCATTTCCGAAAAGGAATATGCCTGGAGGTTTGGTAATCACGTCGTCGACCTCGGTGCTAAAGCGGCCATTCTCGCTCATCCGAGAGACGATGGGGTCTTGGAAGAAGCTGGTATCCTTGTGAAGTACGCGCATGCCAACTGTAAGCTAGCTGCTAAGCTGTTGCCTCTTTTGCCCCCCTGAAGGCCTCGAAGGATATCCTTTATGTGCCTCAGGGTGCGGGCCCCCAGGGCCCCACTGCCCCAGGCCATCGTTGGGAGCAGTGGCGGGGAGCTTGGCGGTGCTCAGTCTGTCTTCGAGGTCAGCGATCCTCGGCTAAGCCGGCTGTTGGACGTTGCCCGAATGATTCGGAATTGCACGCTTCGCGTCAGGACGCCCTGGGTCATCACACTGTGGCGTTCGATTGTTCTGATGGATCGGTCCTGTTCATTTGCACGCGCTGCAAATGCCATTCAACGGGTGCGTCTGTCAGAGGTCTTGGCGAGGAGCGCCGTGTCCCGCCCACTCGTGCTGCCAAGTATGGGTGGAACGCTCTCGCCAAAGGCCGCCACCCACACTATTCTCGATCGAAGCTCGGTGTCACTGTTGAGACAAGCTATTGCGTTTCATGTTTCAACACTTTTGTTGAGGAGTCTGATGATGCCGAAGGTGCACCAGCTGACCCTCCTACTGCTGTTCCTCCTCCTGTCTTGCTCACTGTGCCAGGACACTCTGCTGAGCTGGACCCGCCTCTGGACGGCAGAAATCAACCAGCTCAGGTACGACGTGCCCTTAAAATGGCGCGGGGGGGGCCAGGTCGAGCCTGGGGACCAGCGCGATCTGGATGTTGATATGGAGGAAGAGGATGCTCGTGCCTTTGTTGTGGATGATGTTTCAGCCCTTTCGAGTGCTAGTAGGCCTGTGGATGTTCTTCAGAGTGTGGCGGAGGCCCTTCGCCGCGAGGAGGACGAACAGTCTCGAATGCTGCCTTTGCACGAGGATGGAGGGGCGTCTGATTGATTTTCTGGTGCTCCTCACTTGCAGTAGCCGTGGCACGCCCCAGGGGTATTCCCTGACCTACTCATGGGCGTCTCATCCTTGTACTGGTGAGTGCAATTTTTCTTGATGACCCTCTGCAGCGCCATGACAGTCGGTATTTCAAGACCTCCAACGCGAGGAAAGAAGAGGTGTTGGTGTTCCAGCGGGGGAAAAATCCTCTCCTCCTCCCTCCTCCTCCTCCTCCTCCTCCTCCTCCTCCCTCCTCCTCCTCTCCTCCTCCTCCTCCTCCTCCTCCTCCTCCTCCTCCTCCTCCTCCCCCCCCCCCTCCTCCTCCTCCTCATCCTCCTCTCCTCCTCCTCCTCCTCCTCCTCCTCTCCTCCTCCTCCTCCTCCTCCTCTCCTCCCTCCTCCTCCTCTTTCCTCCCCTCCTCCTCCTCCTCTCCTCCTCCTCCTCCTCCTCTCCTCCTCCTCCTCCACTTCCTCCTCCCTCCTCCTCCCCTCCTCTCCTCCCCCTCCCCCTCCTCCCTCCTCCTCCTCCTGCCTTCCTCCTCCTCCTCCCCCTCCTCCTCATCCTACTCCCCTCCTCCTCCTCCTCCCCCTCCTCCTCCTCCTACCACTTCTCCTCCTCCTCCTCACTCCTCCCTCTCCTCCTCCGCCTCCTCCTCCTCCCTCCTCCTCCTCGCTCGCTCCTCCCTCCTCCTCCTTTTCCTTCCCCCCTCCTCCTCCTCCTCCTCCTCCTCCTCCTCTCCCCTCCTCCCCCCCCCCCTCCTCCTCCTCCTGCCTCCTCCTCCTCCTCCTCCTCCTCCTCCTCCTCCTCCTCCTCCTCCTCCTCCGCCTCCTCCTCCTGCAGAGCCAGGGGTGCATTGACCCAGGCTTGGGCGCAGGATCCTGCAGGATCTTGCGAAGCCCGGCTGGCCCGGAGGGGGACCTGGGCGTGGATGGACCTGTGGGCCAGTAGATCCCCGGTGTCTTTTGATGGATTTGGGCAAGTTTGCTTGCATGGGTCGGCCGGGGGGAAGACAGGGTACCCATACCGCTACCCGTGTTTCGTTTTTGTCTTGTTCGGGTCTTCGTGGGAGGCCCTCGTCGCCACCGCTGGGTTCGCTTCGGAATCTGGTCAGAACGCACCCCAGGATTCGTCCAGGGAGTTGCGGTATCGGTACCTCTTGGTTCCCCCAGTGCGGAGTGGAGGGGGTCGGGGAACCAAGAATGACGTGGACAGAAGTTGTCGGAGGTCTGCGCGGATCTCTGTGATCGGCGCTCGGCCCCTTTCCCTGGCGCTCGGAGCGCGGAGCGCGCCAGGGGCGGCGCCAGAGGCGCAGCAAGGGAGCCCAGCGCCGATCCAGGAGCACGGACCTCTGGAAGTTTCTGTGTGTCGTTGTCTGTTACCTGCGGGGGGAGGTGCAGTGTACGGCAGGTCCGCGTCGTGTCCACGCGGAGGCGGCCCAGACGTGGGCGTTCAAGGTTGAACGCTCTTGGTGGCGCAGAATCGGCCAACATGGAACGATATGGCCATCGGAGAACCGCCGATCGGTATTGTCGCAACTCTTGGGAGTCTTCTATGTCCTCCGGATTCCGTTGTCGGATGCTTTCAGGGTGCGTTATCTTGCGCTAGCGTCTGGTCATCGATGAGGAAGCGCCGATGTAGCGTCGATTAGCGTCGGTTCAGCGCTGATTTAGCGTCGTCTAGCGTAGATGATCGTCGATCAGCGCCGTTTAGCGCCGACTCGCAGGAGCCAGCAAGATGGCATAGGAGGCTCCCATGAGTTGCCACAGGAGGAAGGCGGGGGCGCTGCGAAAGGTAATCTGGACTCCGCGCAAGTGGGAACTCGCTTGCACGCCTTTTCGGCCCCGCGCTGTACGAAGAGGCAGCGGGTGTGAAGTGGGGGGGGGGGGATAGGGGATAGGCCCTCTTCCTGAACCTTCCGCACCTTCCGCGCGGCAGATGCCGCGCTGCCGCGGCTTCCGCCGCGGCCGCGATGGCGAAAACGGTCGAGGCCGCAGCGCGGCGACACCTTCCTCGCGAAAGGTGCGGAAGGTTCGGGGATGCGGAAGACTCGAGTGCGCCAGGATTCGGGTTCGCCGACGTTTTTTAACGAGCGGGTCCTGGATGTTGACGGTCCAGTTTTCATGGGACGTTTGCAGCGGGAGTTCGCGGTAAATTTCAGATTTTCATGATGGCCCCGACAGGCCAACCCGAGACCCCCGAACCCGAGCCTTGCGTCTGCCCGATCGAGGAGGGGAAGTGCCATATGCCAGTAGACTTGGCCCGGCACAGAACCGGAAAGAACGCGTCAGAAACAGAAACCGAAATTTCCCACACCACCGTTCGTACGGGGAGCCTTTGCATTGAGAGTTTGTTACGTCACCCCTCGCTCGTGGGAGCCTTGGTGTTCAGAGATTGTTGTATTGCCGCCCGCTCCTGAGACTTGGCTGGGCCTTGGTGACAGGAACTTGTTACGTCACCGCTCTCTGCTGGGGGCCTTGGTCTTATCAGCTTGTTTACGTCACCGTTCGCTCTTGGGAGCCTTGGTGTGAAAAGCTTTTTGCGTTACCGATCGCTCTTTCTTTGGCGTCTCTGGGCCCTTTTGGGAGCCCTATAGCGGCCCTTGTCGGGCCCTTTTGGAGGCCTCTTGGGAGCCTCTTGGGGGCCTCTTGGGGCTTCTTGGGGGGCTCTGGGGGCCTCGTGGGAGCTTCTTGGGGCGAAAGGCTAGACTTTTCGGTTCGTCGTCCCCCTCTTGGGGCCGTCTTGGGGCCCTCTTGGGCCGTCTTGGGCGCCTCTTGGGCCGTCTTGGGGCCCTCTTGGGCCGTTTTGGGGGCATCTTGGGAGCCTCTTGGGCCGTCTTGGGGCGGTCTGGGGGACCTCTTAGACCGTCTTCAACGCCGTGAAAGCCGAACAGCCTTACATGCTAGTAATGTTCAGTTTTCCATAGGCAATCAATGATTTTGGCCTCCTGGTGGCCAGTTGGGACGCCTCTTGGGGGCCTCTTGGGGCTTATTGGGTGGCTCTTGGGACCTCCTGGGAGCGTCTTGGGGCGATAGGCTAGACTTTTCGGTTCGTGGTCCCCCTCTTGGGGCCGTCTTGGGGCCCTCTTTGGCCGTCTTGGGCGCCTCTTGGATCGTCTTGAAGCCCTCTTGGGCCGTTGTGGGGGCCTCTTGGGAGCCTCTTGGGCCGTCTTGGGGCGGTCTTGGGGGCCTCTTGGGCCGTCGTCAACGCCGTGAAAGCCGAAAAGCCGTATATGCTAAAGATATACGTTTTCCTCTGGAGAATCAATGGTTTCGGCCTCTTGGGGCCCTCTTGGGACGCCCCTTTGGCGCCTCTTGGGGGCATCTTGGGGGCCTCTTGGGCCGTCTTGGGCGGTCTTGGGCTCTCTTGGAGCGCTCTTGGGCCGTCTTGGGGGGAACCCGAAAAACATACAAAAACACAAGGGGAAACCCGAAAACGGTCATTAACACACACTCCCCCGCCCTACCCCCCTCCCCTGGAACCCCTCCCTTTAGGGTTTCGCTCACACCAGAACGTCATCACTCGTACCTCGCCCTTTCCGTTACCTGGGCCGGGCACAGAAACGGAAAGAGCGCATCAGAATCTTTACCGAAATTATTCACACCACCATTCGTATTGGGATCTTTGGCGTTGAGAGCTTGTTACGTCACCCGGCGCTTCTGGGAGCTTTGGTGTTCA